GGGCACCCGCTGCGCGGTCGGGGGGAGAGCACATGCTCCGTGCTCCGGGGGCGGCTGTAAAGCCGCCTGCCCGCGGCTCTGCCCGCACTGCCGGGGGGCGAGGGCCCGCCCCCGGGGCGCTCCCGGCGGGGGTGGGGGCGTTTACGGGAGGGGCGACTCAGACAAAAGGGACGCCCGCGCCCTCCCTCCCCTTGCTCCCCGCCCCCGCGGAGCTCCGCCGTCGCCCCCCGCACCGGCTCCAGGAGAGGGGAGCTGTTCGCTCCGCATCCCTCCGTTCCTCCGCGTCGCTGCCCGGAGCCGGCGCCGAGGCGGCCGCCGGGCCAACTTGTTTCTCCGGGTGTCACCTGGCCGCTGCCGCCGCTGTGCCCCCGCCCTCGGCCGGGTGGTCTGTCCCGACGGTCTCCCCGGCGGAGGGCGGTCGGGCGCGGCGTGTGCCCCGCCCCGGCGCTGGTCGCCCCTCCGGACCGCAGGACAACAGCTAATCATTTATGTATCAATTCACAAAAGCCTTTCCCACATTACTTGGAAAGGCTGTCAGGCTAATGCGTTTTCTTTCCGTGCAATTTCATTTTATCTGACATTRTTTCCTTCATACCGAATTCCACTTGCCTTGCTTTGATTTGGGGTGCGTTCTGTTCTGGTTCCTAGGCGCACATGGTATGGGTAGGGCATCAGTGCTCTGTTTAAAAGTTAATTTTGCCTATCAAACTCTACTAGGTACAGTAGTAAGAAAGTAGCAAAGAATGCTAATATTTCTTTTGTTTCCAGTCTTCTAAATAAAGATATCAAACGACTACTAGCTTCCGCTAGTCAATATAGTAAATAAATTAAATGTAGTCATTAGAATGAGCCTTTATGGCACTTTCAAAAATCTGTAATTCAATCATCTCTGATACAGGCTGCCTTTTGCTATTATTCATCAGACCTGGCTGARTGATTTCTGTCAGATGGGAAGCGGTAGAAAGAAATCTCTAGGTAGATGTAACTGAAAAGCTTTCCAAGTAGAGTCCTAAATGAGCACAGAAAAGCACTTGGCCACAATCTCAAGACAGATGTTGGCATCCAAATAAATCATTTCTTTTGATTGTCTGGGGGGTGTCAAGTTTTATTTTCCTTATTTGATAGCCATTTGCTTGTGAAGAAGTAGCTCTGTCTTTATTACCTTGTAAACTCAATGCAAAATGTTATAGTGCAATAGTATTTCACTGTCTCTGAAATAATATTTTCTGTACAAAGGTCAGTAGAGTAATTTTAGATACGCATACAGGTTGTAGACAACAACTAGACTACTAATCTGCAATGGTGATATTGATCCTCAGAGCTGCTGTGCAGTGTGCCATCCATGTTGCAAGTTAATCTGTTATGCGCTGTTTGAATTGCTTTATTGTCCGAGAGAGTTACTTCATCCTAAGGGGAAGATGGTACTTGTAAACCCAAGGGGAGTTTCCTTTCCCTGGTGAGTTGACATCTTAGAGTTACAGATGGGCAGTTGTTTTTAAGAGTGTCCCTGAAAAAGGGATGGGGGGAGCTTTTGGGTACAAGGACAAGTAGGCAGCAAGCTAATTTGCTTTGTGAGGATATGAAATGACATCCCCTGCCATGCTTAAATAAACCTGCTCAGGAAAAGTGTAAAGGAGATTGCACATGTGTCTAGAATAGTGTTTTCTTGTCTGTCTTGGAAACAAATGACCTGATTTTATGTCTTGAGTCAAATGTATATCTTTTTGTCTTCCAAGCTCTTTGGAATAGCTGTTCAATTAGCAATGTCTGAGGGAAATATAATGTGGTCTATTACTTGGCTTGTAGTATAGTTGCTCGAAATTTGCATGCGTACAATTCATAAATTGAAATTATATAGCTTAAAAACATAGTGTAGGCAGCTTGAGTGAGAAGAGATAATTTCAAAAAGAACCACAGGGCATAAGATAATGACATGCTGTAGGAAATAATCATACTTCTGCACTTGCAAAAGCATGAAATGTTCCAGTGTAGCCATTTCATACAAGCCAAATTTTCCTTCACATTAAGAGCGCCTAAGTGAGCCTTATTAATGTTTGATGTGAAAGATGCTAAATCCATTTTAAGAGTTCATACTGGAATTTAAAGAGGTAGCTCACAGACTAACAGAACAGTTCTGATACTTACCTGAAACAAATCTAAAAAATAATCAGTTGCCGTGTATGCCATAGCAGCACAAGTGGGATATAGCCTCTTGTGTAACACTGATGGGCAAGAAACCCTTTAAAACTGTAGATATGAACCAGTGTTTGATTTAACAGTCTGAAATGTTCTCCTACCTTAATCATAACTTAAATCAGATATGAGTCGACCGAGAAGATACTCAGTGTTGGTTAGTGTAGCAAAGGTGTGAGATAAGAGAAGGTTTTGTTTGTCAGAAATGTAGGGAAAAAAAAAATCTGTATTTTTCCAGCTAGCATAGAGACACCGGAAACATAAAATCAATTTTTATGGTCTTTTGGCAGGGTTGGCTGTAATAAGTAAAAAGAAGGAGCAGCTCAGTGTCTTGGCAGAAGTTTTTAAGCCACTCAGCTGTAYAGAACTCAGTTAATTGATGTTGTCTCACATGAAAATGGAGCTCTTATTTAGCATATCATGGTCTTTTCCTGACCATTCAGCAGTTTGATTACAGTTTTAAAAATGGTTGTGTGTAGTTTTGTATTTGTTTAAATATTTATGCATGTTTACGCAGATAAACTCTTTAATGGGAACTGCTTTGTGAATAAAGGGTGCATGCAACCTCGTATTACATGCTATGGAAGAGACATTAAAGTTTGTGATACAAATGAAAAGGAGAAGAAGATATTTCTGCATATCTGGAAAAAAGCATGGAGGAATTATTACGCATGGATATCATGATCTCCTTCCGTCTGCTGGTGATGCCCATATAAATACACAGTTTCACAAAGAAAATTCATAGTTTGATTTTACTTTGATTCTTTATAGAATGTTTGTTTTAAATATAACTCTGTAGCTACGGAAAATCTTAATTAGAAATACAGATAAGGGAGCAAACTATCAATATGTGTTTACTGCTGACATTTATGAAAAATACTCGAGGTTAAAATAAAAACGTTTGCCAGACTAAATAAACAAAGCATTAGGTTAACAAATATTTTCAGGATCGTCATGTACAAATGTCGTCTTTGCTAGAGAAGGCTTTACTCCTCCCTAATACACCTCAGTAAAAGAAGGGATTAGGAAATGCTGGTTGTACTGTTACATCTTTTGCAGAAATACCAAAGCAGAATGCATTAGGAGAAGGACAACTGATGAGGGTTTTTCATGATTTCCTTTTGTGAGAGGCGAAGAGCAGGCTATAGGCAGTCTCTTTCAGGGACTACATGGACTAGCTGAGCAATTTCTGTAAGCAGCACGTTGAAAGATTTTTCTTGTTTAAATACAGAAAAGAAGTAAAAATATTTATTGAAACGAATTTTATTTTTTTAGTCCTGTAATGGCTTAAAGCCATATAGGAACTTGTAGTAAGAACATCTCCTTGAGTACTACTTTTGACAAATATCTAATCAATATGTTTTAGATGCTGGCTTTTCTGTTGTTTTACCCAAGTGGCAAAAGGAGTAGCACATGAAGGGGTTATGAGCTCATAATTTTTCTTAACTTGTTTTCTTATCACTGCCAGTCTGGAGGTATTTCCCTGAAACAGCAGACACTGAACACTTCTCCCTTTCCATACTAGAGGGAGTGATGTTGCCATCTTTTAAATTCACAGAGAATTGCAAACTCAGGATGCCACTTGTCTTTTCTAGCCACCCCTAAATATGCTTGGAGAATCTACCAGAATATGAATTAAATCTGGAATGTCTCCTGAGCAGGGTAGTTATCTGAGCTTCTAATATTTATATGGCTTTTGAAATGGAGATGATTTTACAAATTTAAAAAAAAAAAAGTAACGAGAAATTATCCAAATAATAAATCAACTCTGAACTATGATTTTATTTTCCTAAAATTTTGTATTAATGTTTTATTTAGGAGTGGCTAAAACCAATTTGGCTATTTTAATGATGCTGTCTGTAAGTTTTGTGGATGCTATTAAGGATTTATAGCCAAAYGTATTGTAGTAGCTTTAATAGTGTAGCTGTGGCTGCAGTGACTCCGTAGTACAGTCCTCAAAGCTGCTCTACTCTGATGTTTTAATGAATTTATATGCAAATACTTTTGATATGCAAATATTGGCTTTATAAACCAAGTTCTGTTTTGTACCTTTATCCTAAGAGTATTGTTTTTCTATAATCATGCGTTTGAAAAATCGGGGTGACAGTTGCAAAATGGGAAAGCTGGTAACCATTCCCCAGCTTGGCTCAGAGACATGAGTTGACCCGTGAACTCTCACATCCATATGTTTGAATAACTGTGTAGATGGTGCAGTTAAAAATAATGGGAGTACTTTCGTGCAAAGCACTGTGGAAAACAAAATTCCTTGACAAATGGTTTATCTGGCTCAGGATGCTGTCCCTCACCATTGTGCATTTCCTAGAAAATGTGTCTTTGTACAGATGGACACTAGATCTAACTCTTATTTGGAAGACTTAATGGTCACTAGTATTTTGCAGGGGTTTTAGTGGGTGTTGGGGTTTTT